ATGCAAAAAAGAGCTACTCAAACAAGCTGAGTAGTATGATGTCCACAAATGAGCCATCAACCGTCTGGAAGTGCCTGCAGAACATCACCAGCTACAAAAGGACACCCCCCCCGAGACAATGGGTGATCGTCAGTTGGCTTAGCACTTTTTACTGCAGGTTTGAAAAGCCCAGCTCCACACACCCATTCAGCACAGATTCACACCCTCCTGTCATTCAGCCATCTATTCAGCCTGCCCTGAAGATCTGCGAGAAGGATGTACATCGACTTTTCAGGAGACAAAAAGTGAGGAAAGCACCAGGACCAGACGGTTATCACCCTCCTGTCTGAGGGCCTATGCCAACCGTCTTGCACCAGTCTTTACAGCACTCTTTAATAAATCACTGGAGCTGTGTGTCATACCTTTCTGCTTCAAACGCTCCACCATTATACCAGTTCCCAAGAAAGCAACCATCACAGGATTGAATGACTACAGACCCCCTGCAGCAGGTGAGGTTGTGAAAGTTCACCTCAAACATCCAGATCATCACTACAGCTGCTCCACAGGGTTGTGTACTCTCACCATTGCTCTTCTCACTGCACATGAACGACTGTACCTCCGCGGACCCCTCAAAATCCTGAAGTATGCAGATGACACTACAGCACCAAAACAACCTGGTGCTGAATACAGCAAAAACAGTGGAGATGACAGTGGACTTCAGGAGGAGCCCGCCAACCCTGCCAGCACTCACCATCCTGGACAGAACTGTGGTGGCAGTGGAGTCCTGCAAGTTCCTGGGCACAACAATCACCAGGGACCTGAAGTGGGACAGCAACATCAGCTCCATCATCAAGAGAGCCCAGCAGAGGATAAACTTCCTGCATCAGCTGGATCCCTTTCTTTGCCACTATACACCCTTTAACTGCTGCTGCACTCAGCACTTTAACTTTAGACCCATACTTTGGGTGCACAATGTAAAGGTTACAGGTATGTGTGTGTGTGTGTGTGTGTGTTTATGAGTGAGTGATGGTAGGAATTTAATTTTTTTTTGTATTTTATTTTATTGTATTTTATTTAATTTTATATTTATTTTATTTTATTCACTATGGTTGTCTGATACTGTGCACTGTGAACTCCTGTAACCAAAACCAAATTCCTTGTATGTGTAAGTATACCTGGCCCATAAAGCTTGATTCTGATTCTGAGGAGAACGAGTTTGGCTGTCGACTTGATTTACATTCTTGTTACCAGGTTTCTCACTCATTCCATGTTTCTCTGCTCAAACCTGTTGTCCCAGGTCTGTTGGATGAGGCTTCGCCCGCTGATGCACCCCCTCCTCAGAGGAAGGTTGATGGGACCCCAGATTATGCTGTTTGCAAGCTGCTGGACTCCAGGAGAAGGGGGCGGGGGGCCAACTGTAGTATCTGGTAGACTAAGAGGGAAATGGCCCTGAGGAGCAGTGCTGGGTACCAGCTGGAGATATCTTCGACCTGAGGTTCATCATTCCACAGTGGGATAAGCCCACTCCTTGTCCTGGTGGCCGCCCAAAGAGGGCTTTCCCTGGTTTGCTGTCTGGTCATTGTCTCAGAGGTGCCTCCCGGGCAGGCTCCCAGTAGTGTGGGTGGTGGTCGTCCTGGACTCTTTGGGGGTACTGTCATGCATCCCTCCAGCTCTGATGCATCCATGAACTCCCAGAATCTTCTGGCAGATCACATGCCTGCTGCCCACCACAGTGTTCCAATCATCCTTAGCACTCACCTGAATACTGGTCTGCATCACCTGTTCTTTTGTCATATGATTAGTTAGAGTTAGTATAGAGCCTGGGCTTTTAAAATAGTTTCCTTGCAAGGTATTGCTTCTAACTTAAATACAGTGTCCCACTCTCATGCTGGACCCTGCTGCCTTTCCCTATTCACTCTGTGTCACTGATGCTACATTACACTCAAAAAGCACAGCTGCAGATTTTATGTCTTTGTAATTTACACCCTAGCTGATGAAATTAACGTTCCTAGCTTCATAACCATAAATGTTTCCATAATCATGATTTATGCAAACTCCAGTCCACTCCACTATGATGGCACACTCTAAAGCTTCTTGTGAGCTAATAGCTGTCCATTGTGGAGAACACTCAGCCTGCTAAACATAAGTGACTTTGAGTTACAATCCAGGCCTATGAGATGTCTCACATATAAAACTAATTGTCAAATCTACTTATTTACACACTGTTTTATAGATATTATGCAATAAATTGCTCTTTAAAAATGCAGCAGTCAGAATGGAGCATATGATCAAAACACAACACAAAACAGCTGGATATCGCATATTATTGGTATAGCCTATGGAAAAAGCCTTCCCATACTCTAGAAACAAATTGTGGAATCCTGTCTCATAGAATGTCCTCAGGAATACCATAATTCCTGAAAAGGTGGTTATGAATGGCCTTAGCAATCTGAAAAGCATCAGAAATGGCAGGGAACTGTACAAATCTAACACTGCAGGAAAACCTGTCAACGATAGTCAAGATGGTAGTGTAACCCTCTGATGATGGAAGATCTGAAACAAACTCAATGGCTATGTGTTGATGCATCTAATTCTACAACAAAAGGTAATGATGGGTCAGGGTGTCTGAGAATGGGGGCAGTAGTGAAAGCAGTTTTGAGTGCAGAAAAGGCCTCCTCTGCCTTTTTGGGGCTCTTTTAAGAAGAGCAGTAAGGGTAGCAGAGGGTAGAATCATATTTGTATTGACTTATCAGTGATTTCTTTGTTTAAACTTTGCTCAGATGATTAATCCAACAATTCATATATTAATGAAGACAGCACTTTGTTTACTCTTGAATCAACTCACTTGGAGGTTAAACTAAAGCACTAGCCATTATCCCAAGGACTGACTGTTATGATAAGGTATTGTATTACTTTGCAGTATGATGTAGTTACAGGTGCCATTCAGCCAGTGAAAGGGAGTCACTGTATGTGGCAATCTTCCTCAGTCAGGCTGCTGGAAAATGTAATTGTGCAATTATTTTGTTTATTTATTTTTCAATTTCAAAGTATTTTGTGATCTATAAATGGTTATATGCAAGTAATTTCATTTTGACATTCTCACATTTCCACCACTTTGTACCTTTGTGCTAAAATATGCTATGTAAATATGCTCTCATTACCTATGAAGAGATGATACATGTGAATTCTACCTGTGAATATTTCATTACATAACACAGCATGCAAAGCAGGTGGCCTTATGATCATTATCAGCTTGCAGGTTTGAAAGAGGGACGAACACATCCAGTTCTACTGAATTCTTGTTCCTGAAATCCAATACAAAAATAACACAGCGGAGAACAGTTCAGATCAGGAGGCTGAGATACACTTCTGGAGAAAAAGTTCAGTTCTAATTTTGAATTTAATGCAAATCCTACAGCTGCATTCATCCAAGCCGTCACCAGCTATCGGTATAGGTATTGGCAGTTACCTAGTACATCCACATCACTGCTCTTCATTGACAAAAAGAGTTCAACTGTATTTTATTATTGGATATGTTAGTTGGTTAACACGAGTCATAAGACTCTCATTGAGTTAAGCTGGGCCAAGATCCAATCCAAAAGGCCCATGCAGGGAAAGGCTGTTCTTCATGGTTCTATGAAAGCCCTGCCCCCTCCCACTTGAGTGCAAATGTTAATGAGTGTTTCTGGTCTTCCATTATCAGACAGCCTATTCAGCCAGCAGCTGCATTCCAGCAGTGATAGTTCATGGATTACCCCTCCTAATCCAAAGACATCTGGCACCCCCAGTGATGCCAAGTACTCTGTAGAATGAGTGCTTTACAAAGCCCCTATATCCTACAACTACACCAATGAGCCAAAACACGACCACCTGCCTAATATGCTGTTGGTCCTTTGTGTGCCACCAAAATAGCTAGAACCTTTCGAGGCATGGACTCTGCAAAACCTCTGAAGGTGCCCTGTGGCATCTGGCACCAAAACATTAGCAGCAGATCCTTTACTTCCTGTAAGGTGTAAGATGGAGCCACCACACATCGGACTGGCTCCAGCACATCCCACAAATGCTTGATCAGATCGATATCTGGAAAATTTGGCCAGGAAACACCTTGAATACTGTGTGCAGTGTGGCATGGTGCCACTGTCACTGCCATGGGGAAAGACCAATGTTACGTATTTTGTTTTTTTGTGTTTGCATGTGTGTCTCTCTCTCCTGGTCTCTTCCTTCACAGCTCTGCAAACAGTCATGTGAGGAGGACCTCTAACCAATCAGAGGTCTGGCTGGTGCGGTTGGGGAAAGAGCCTATGTTTTAAAACAGGCCTTCAAGATGGCTGAAGAGGGAGAGGACTGATCATGTGTCCTGTGTTGTAGTTTGTATTTTAGTCTTGTGTTGGGAGGGTGCTTTGTTTTACCAGTGCTTCTATCATAGAGGCATAGTCTAACGGCCTCGCTGCAAACAGGAGGCGGGGCCCGGGAGGCGGAGTTCAGGACTTATGTGCCACCTTTATACCTCTAGTGGCTGTCGTTGTTCTCCCTCCCTCCCTTGTGGCTGTGCGAGGCTTGGGCACCACCTTCCCGCCCTCGCGGCCATCGTCGATGCCCCTGGGTCGACTGCCACACACTTATAGTGCATCTGATTGTTCTTGTGCTTATGTGTGTGAGTTTATACATTTGCTCACAGTAACACTGTTGGCCCACCGAGAATTCTCCCAACTCTCCAGATTAGCCACTCTGGCATTGCTGACCCTTGAACACTCACAGTACATCATTCTTAATTCTTGTTTGAACTTTCTATATTTTCCTTTATTTCCAACAAACAGAGCAACTGTGAAATGCTTTTGCTGAAAAAAAAGTTTTTTGAGAAAGTTGTTTCATGTTTTAACTCGATCTTTTGATGTGTGTATCTACTGTGTGTCTTCATTCATTTGCATTGTTAGGTGAGCCTTCATGTAAATCAACATTAAAATAGTCTGACATGCACAAAAACAAAGAAAGAGCTGTTGTGGCTTTAGTGTGTCTTCAGGTCACAGACACTAATCAGCAGGAGGCAGACACACAGAGCAACTGTACCAGCAGTAATAGGTAAGAAACACCTTTAGGAACTCTAATCTCTGTTATTGAGCTTTAACATACTGTCTGGGTGAATGCATTTATTCTTAATTTGAAGCTGAATTTTTAAATAAATATATTAGATTTTTCGAAAGCAAAGTGCTTGGAAAAGGTATGAAGGAGAAACTGCTGTACTTACAGAAGAGGTCAGTTTACAGGACAGGGATTAAGCTCAATCTGACTACACAGAACTGTGAATAGGCTTAATCTCTCTCCATACTGTACCATATGTAATATATATGCATTTCTCAGTTCAATATATACAATTCTCAGTCTCTTTATACTCCAGATTAACAGGTTTGTGTTCAGATAAAATACTGTTGCTCTCAGAATGTGTTCTATGTTGCAGTTTGTGACTTTAAGCTGCAGCTGTGGGTCATAATGTATAACCTACTTTTGAAGTATGTTTATGATTTTTGCTAAGATGATAGCATCTGGGAGTTTGATGATGTAGATAAACATTTAGAACTATTAAGCCCATTGCAGAGGACAATTTTATTAGAAAATCTTATAATATTACTCTGTTTTATACCTTCTCTGAACGTTATTCTTGCTTTCTTTGTTTTAAATGTATTTGATTCATACGGTGTGAAACATAAACCAGCAAAGTCTTCAGATTTGTGCCTGTTTAACATGTTAAATTTACATTTCTATAGCATGTTCTCTATATTGCCAAAAGTAAGTTCACATCTAAATCATTGAATTCAGGTGTTCCAATCACTTCCATGGCCACAGGTGTATAAAACCAAGCACCTAGGCATGCAGACTGCTTCTACAAACATTAGTGAAAGAATGTGTCGCTCTCAGGAGCTCAGTGAATTCCAGCGTGATACCGTGATAGGATGCCACCTGTGCAACAAGTCCAGTCGTGAAATTTCCTCACTACTAAATATTCCACAGTCAACTGTCAGTGGTATTTTAACAAAGTGGAAGTGATTGGGAACGACAGCAACTCAGCCACGAAGTGGTCTGCCACGTAAAATGACAGAGCGGTTCAGCGGATGCTGAGGCGCATAGTGCGCAGAGGTTGCCAACTTTCTGCAGAGTCAATCGCTACAGACCTCCAAACTTCATGTGGCCTTCAATTAGCTCAAAAACAGTGTAGAGAGCTTCATGGAATGGGTTTCCATGGCTGAGCAGCTGCATCCAAGCCTTACATCACCAAGAGTGAATACTTTTGACAATATAGTGTATATTCATTTTGTTTGATCTCACATGGGGTGATGCTCCTCTCCACATCAGCCAATCAGAGTTCAGTATCACCTGTTTATTAACTACCAGAACCTGTTCTTACACCTTCACTTCTAGTTGTAAGGGTTCAGCCGGCCCCGCCTGCTGCCAGCAGAGGGCGACGGCGGCACAGGGCCATAACTTCAGGGAACTCCAATTCCCAGAAGTCCGCGGGCTGATTAGGCCCAACGCGACACACCTGCGGACTCCTCTACTTAAGGTCAAGGCAAACAGTGGTGTTTGTCACACCTTTGTAGAGGGGTGACCAGTACGGTACTTAGTGTCAGAAAAGAAAAGAAAAGAAAAGAAAAGAAAAGAAACTGCCCCAAAACTAAAAAAAAAGAAAAGAGGGCTGAGAGAAGAAACTGCCCCAAAACTAAAAAAGAAAAAGAAAAGAGGGCTGAGAAAAGAAACTGTCCCAAAGCTACTTAGCCAAGGTGGGCATTGAAAAGAAAAGAAAAAAAAAGGTCTGCCTTCCCTTCGTTCTTGGAGGGGAAGTGTTTTTTTGGTTTCCTATTATCTGTCCTTTCGCCTTTCTAGTTCAGCCTTTGTTTGAGCACGCTGCTCTCAGCGTCTCATTTGTCTGCCGTTCGTCGTTTTCCCGCCTTTTCTTTTCCCCCTTCCTTGAGGTGTTTTTGCCAGTAGTTGCCTGTGCTCCTCAGTGGCGCAGTGGTAACGCCACGAAGCGCCTATCAGTACATTGCCGGTTAGAACCTGGCTTTGGGTCACCTCATATGCATGTTTCAGACTCACAACCCAGTGCCACAATGGGCACTTGGGTCCGACCTCCCCGCCGTCCTGTAATAGAAAGGTGTGACCAACATGGACCCAGCAGAATTGGATCCCATCAGATCTGCCCTGCAAACTCAGGGTGCCGTTATTGGCCAGCATGAGCAGCTGTTGCAAGACATGATGCAGCAGCTGACCCTTCTGGTCAGGGCACAGACCGAGGGGGTTCAGCCTGCCAGTGCTGCTGCAGCTGCCCCTGCTCCTGCCTTAGCTCCCACTCCACCCCCCCTGCTGACCTGATCCGGGGTGATGCTCTGGTGGCCAATCCAGAGAGATATGCTGGGGACCCAGAGACCTGTAGAGGGTTTCTCTTGCAGTGTTCTCTGGTGTTTGAGCAGCAACCCTCCCGGTTCCCCACAGAGAGGTCCAAAGTGGCTTATATGATCTCTCTATTGACCGGTAGGGCTTTGGCTTGGGCCACCTCGCTGTGGGAGCAGGACTCTCCTGACACAGCATCGGGAGAGTTTTGTCAAGGCCATGAGGGCGACCTTTCATAGCCCCATCGGGGGTAGGGAGGCTGCACCCCACCTCCTGGCCCTCTCCCAAGGAGCCCGTTCGGTGGCGGATTATGCCATCGAGTTCCATACCCTGGCCGCTGAAAGTGGCTGGAATGAGGAGGCGCTAACTGCCATCTTCCATCAGGGACTTAACGGGAAGCTCAAGGATGAACTAGCCACCCGGGAGCTGCTCTCCACGTTAGAGGGTCTCTATGACGTATGCATCGGTCTGGATACCCGCATGCGTCAAAGAGACTTGGACCGGAGAGGTGGTTCCCGTGCTCCTGTCTCCCGTCCCCCCTGGCGCCCCTCTCCAGCCGGGTCACCATCTAGCAGGGACCTGCCTGAGCCCATGCAACTCGGTAGTGCTGGGCTGCCTGATCGCGGTTCTGGGCCTCAATCATTTGAGACCAGACGCCCTGGCAATACTAGCAAGCCATGGGGAAACGCACGGGCCAGGGGGACCGGTGAGGGGCCAGTCGTCCTTTTCCCCCACTTCGGGGCTCTTCTTGGAAGTAAAACTTTCATGGGGGCCCAGTCAACACACAACCTTGCAGGCCTTCGTTGACTCAGGAGCAGCAGAAAGCTTTCTTGATGTCACGTTGGCTGCTGAGCTGGGCCTACCCATTGAGCCCCTGGAATGTCCTCTACCGGTTATGGCCCGTCACTCATCACACTGGGCCAGTCACCTTGCGAGTGGGCCCCCACAGTGAGAGCACGGTGCTGTACCTCACCCAAGCCCCCCACTTGCAACTTGTGTTGGGGTTCCCTTGGTTGAGGCAGCACAACCCTCGCATTGACTGGTCGACACAGTCCATATATGCATGGGACCCCCGGTGTAACGGTCATTGCCTGGTCGACCCTGGCCCCCTCCAAGGGATGCCCTCCCTCAAGGGTCCCGCTATGCCCGACCTTTCAGGGGTCCCCAGAGACTACTGGGACCTCAAGGAGGTCTTCAGTAAAGAGAAGGCCCAGGTTCTGCCACCCCACAGGGAGTTCGACTGTGCCATCAACCTGCTCCCAGGTGCCACACCACCCCGCGGCCGGTTGTTTGCACTCTCGCCCCCTGAACGTGCTGCCATGGATGAATACATCCATGAAGCACTGGAGCTGGGGTTTATACGCCCATCCTCCTCGTCTTACCCCAGCTGAACGCAACTACGATGTCGGAGACAGGGAGCTTCTGGCCATGAAGCTCGCCCTGGAGGAATGGAGGCACTGGCTTGAGGGGTCTAAACATCCCTTTGTGGTCTGGACCGACCACAAGAACCTGGCCTATATCCAACAGGCAAAGCGGCTCAACCCTCGCCAAGCCCGATGGGCACTGTTTTTTAGCCGCTTTGATTTCCTGCTGTCTTATAGGCCAGGCTCTAAGAACACCAAGCCTGATGCTCTGTCCAGACAGTGGGCACCTCCGGGGCCTGACCCCTCCCCGGAACCCATTATTCCCACTCCTCGGATCTTGGCCCCACTCCGTTGGGAGCTGGAGACTGCCATCAGGGAGGCCCTACGGCAGGAGCCCGATCCTGGAGGCGGTCCCCCCGGTAAGCTGTACATGCCTGCTGCCGTGTGGCAACGGGTGCTGCTATGGGGGCACGCCTCCCCATTTTCAGGTCACCCAGGGGTGGCTAGGACCCTGGACTTTTTGCGCAGGCGATTTTGGTGGCCTAGCATGGAGAGGGACATCCGTGCCTTCATTGCGTCTTGTGAGACGTGTGCACGCTGCAAAGCACCCCGGTCACGGCCCCAAGGTCTCCTCCACCCACTGCCCATCCCTGCACATCCATGGTCTCACGTCTCCCTGGACTTTGTCATGAGTCTACCCCCCTCCAAAGGCAACACGGTCATCCTGGTCCTCGTGGACCGCTTCTCCAAGGCATGTAAGTTTGTGGCCCTACCCAAGCTTCCCTCTGCCAAGGAGACAGCGGAGCTCCTGTTACAGCACGTGGTCAGGGTTCACGGGATGCCTAGTGATCTGGTGTCTGACCGGGGTCCCCAGTTCACTAGCCGTTTTTGGAAGGCCTTCTGCCAGCTCATGGGAGCCTCTGTGAGCCTCTCCTCCGGCTTCCACCCAGAGTCCAATGGCCAAACTGAGAGGGTCAATCAAGACCTTGCCCGGACTCTGCGGTGCTTGACCTCCACCAACCCCTCCTCATGGGCGGAGTATCTACCCTGGGCGGAATATGCCCATAACACTCTCCGGCATTCGTCCCTGGGCATGTCGCCATTTTGAGTGCCAGTTTGGGTTTTCTCCGCCCATGTTCCCCAAAGAGGAGCGCGAGGTTGGGGTCCCTGCTGCGAAGCAGTTTGTGCAGCGTTGCCAGAGAGCATGGCGGAAGGCCCGTGCTTCCCTCCTGGTCACCACCGAGGCCAGAAAGCAGGTGGCAGACCGCAAGAGGCGCCCAGCCCCCACCTTTCGGCTAGGCCAGCGGGTCTGGCTCTCGGCCAAGGACCTTCCGCTCCGTGTGGAGACCAAAAAGCTGGCGCCTAGATATGTGGGGCCCTTTAAGATCGACCGGCGGATCAACCCAGTCACCTACCGGCTACGCCTTCCGCCCTCCATGTGGCTCCACCTTTTCTTTTCCCCCTTCCTTGAGGTGTTTTTGCCAGTAGTCACCTGTGCTCCTCAGTGGCACAGTGGTAACGCCATGAAGCGCCGATCAGTACATTACCAGTTCGAACCTGGCTTTGGGTCACCTCATATGCATGTTTCAGACTCACAACCCAGTGCCACAAACTCATTTTTCCATTTTTTTCTGTTTCCATTTCTGCACTTGGGTCCGCCTCCCCGCCGTCCCGTAACACTAATACAGTCTGTCATTCTTCTCTCAGGCTGTGGAACATTTTGTCACTGTGGTTCTTTCCTCTTCTTCTTTTGTTGTCTGTCTTTTACTTTTAAATCTGCAGTTATTCTTAATTTCTGCATAAGCGTTCAGCCTCTGAAGTTGCTTTATTACGTAATGACACAATGACTCTGACCAGAGAGTACTCGGTCAGATAAATGAATGCCTGCTGTTCTTGTAAATTTATAATGCCGTTTACATTTGGCTGCATGTTTATGATGTTTTCAGTCTGATTCTCCAGAGATATTTATTAAACTCATCTATTCCACCGAAAGCTAAAGCAGTCCATGTTTATATCCACTGTTTACAACAAAATACAAAAAACTTTTTTTTTTTTTTTTTACACCTTAAAGTGTATCTCTGGCTACTCGTTCATGTTTCGTTTTACAATTCTGAATGTGTCAGCATCACATTCCTTAAAGGGGAATTGCACCAATTTTTCAACATTTATGCATAATTCAATCTTGTTCAGAGTGATCAGATGTGAAATGCTGTTATCGAGAAACTGACTGTGTCTAAGTTGTTTACAATGACAGTAATAGGGAAAAGGCATGTAGGTAGCTTGCAGGTCCGAGATGAAACCAGGCTCAGAACACAGATAAAATGCAGAGACTTCACAACCAGGCTTAACTAAAGATTATATAGGAGGAGAGTAGGAGAGTAATTAATCCAGAGAATGATCTGCAGGTGTGTGAAATGGAGGAGTGGGTGGGGTCAGGGTGGAGCTGGAGCACTACCTCACAGGCCCAGGAGGGAGCAGTTTATGGCAATACCAAATAATAATGTTTCCCCTCATCTTTACAACTATTTCACCATCAGCATTACATAAAAACTCAGGAGTTCACTGTAGGTGCATTGGTTGTTTTGGATTATAAATAAAATGGCAATATTTGTGTTGTAGACATGGTGACCCTCGTGTCACCACCACTGTAAAGAAATCTGGTCTGTTTCTCTGTATTGTTACATCTTTTTCTCTAAATTGAACAATTTGACATCAAACCACTCTGACTTTATTTACAACAATTTAATTATATTTGTGGAATTGGTGGAATTCCCCTTCAGCTTCAGAGAATTCCATGCTGGAGCCTCTCTGCCCTTCTCGAATGTCTGATTCTGTTACTAAAAATAACGTCACTTAAGCAGCATGATCTAATGTGCTGGTTATAAAGACTGTTGAGGTGTTTAATGTGTGAATTGTGTCTTTCTTGTTCTCCACAGTCATGAGTTCAGCTCTGTATCTGATCCTGCTTTTCTCAGGTCAGTGTAGCTTCATGATCATCTGTAAAACTCTCTGCTGCTTCATTACTGTACTGTCATGCTGATGAGAGCTTTCATCTCTACAGCTCTGTGGACTCTCTCCTTCTGTGGGACTTGTCAGTTTCATGTGGTGAATGAAACTAAGAACTGGACTGAAGCTCAGAAATACTGCAGAGAGAAATTCACTGACCTGGTCACCATTGAGAGCCAAGAGGAAATGAACGCTCTGATAGCTTTTCTCAATGGGAGAGCAAACCAATCCTGGATAGGACTGAGACAGAACACCACTGTAAGAAATCAGGTACATTTAGATTTATTCACGGTCAGAAGGTGTGTGACTGTAATGAAACTAAAGAGGGGTCAGGGGGGTTGCAGGTCTTGAAAGTATGTTTTTTTCAGTGACTAAAACTCTGCAGAAATATCAGGTGTTCATAAATCACCACTCCTCCAGTTTCTTTTATACACTTAAAACATAATCTGACCAAAGATAATCTTATAATGTTAAAACCAAAAACACAGCACTGCAAGGCAAGAGGGACAAAACCTGATGCAGCATGTTCATAATTAGCTATAACTAACTCTAACTTCTAGTTCAGAATAAAATCTGCTTTTGTAGATTCGTTCATATCAGTGTGGTAGACAGTGTGTCAGAATTAATGAATGGAATTAGCAAAAGAATTCAGTGAATTCATCTCGCAATAATTTCACTCATTAATCTCACAATAAGAATCCCATATAAATCTACTGTAAATTTGTTTGATTTAGTTGAAAACTACTACTACTACTACTACTACTACTAATAATAATAATAATAATAATATTAATAACTTTTGTAATTACTAACACTATATGTGGTTTGTAGAAACAGAAGAAGATCCTCATAAATTAATGTTTGTCTCATGTGGTTAAAATGATGGGACACTTTTTGCTCACATTTTTCATCCAAACCCCGTTAGAGAAGACCACCTAACTAGTGGCTCCCCCAGTAATTTGAGTTTGACACTCTGTAAAGCTTTGTTCAACACTTATTACTTTGCTGAAGACATGGACAAAACTACATTATATTTATCAATCAGTGTTTTTTTTTTTATATATTCTAGAAGTACCCACTCCACTTTTATACACTGGTTATGGATTTATGCCCTTTTTAAAAAAAACTTTGGCTGAAAACATGCAACTGAAAATCTCTATAGCTGAAGAGCTAATTATTAAAATGCATATATGAGTGTGATGATGAGCAGTGAGGGGTCAGTGTTTAAAATGTTGATCAGATATTAATGTGTTTCTAGAGCTGGATCTGGTCAGATGGGAGTAACTCCTCATACACATACTGGAACACTGGAGAGCCAAACAACCCTGTGGGTGACAACTGTGTGCAGTTGTTTAGCCCTGAATACAAGTGGAATGATGCAGACTGCAAATGGCCAAATCCACTTATCTGCTATAAAAGTGAGTAATAGTAAATAGTAATAATAAGATGATGAAATGCAGATCATCTGTTACAGATCCAGTTCATTCACCTTTAATGGTTGTGTTTGTAGCAGTTACGCTGACTCAGTGCTTTAATGTAAGTATCTAAGTAGTGAATCTGGATGAAGTGAGAAATCAACATTTACAGATAAAGTACACTAACCAAAACTGAACATTTTAAAATATGAACAAAAACAACTGAACTATTTGATGTGGTGATTAAATCTTTGTTCTCACTTTTCTGCAGAGCTTCCACTCATCCTGATTAATCAGACCAAGACGTGGAGACAAGCTCTGAGATACTGCAGAGAGAATCATGTGGATCTGGTCTCTGTTCACACTGAGGAAATTCAGAAATGGGTGGAAACAGCTGTTGATTATGCCTCCACTGCTAATGTGTGGATGGGTCTGCGTCACACCTGCACCCTGAATATCTGGTTCTGGATCAGAGGAGAGTTCATCTGCTACCAGAACTGGGCTCCGGGGAACGGGACAGGGGAGGAAGACTGCAGTGGAGGAGAAAGATCAGGAGCGATGCAGTCTGGAAGTAAGAAGTGGGTCAGTCTGCCACAGAATCAGAAACTCAACTTCATCTGCACTGTTAAGGGTGAGACAGAGGATTCTATATCTGTCAACAGCTAAATATTGATGGTGAAACAAATACTGATTGACCTTTTTTGCTTCTTTTTAGAGTGATTTTAGCATGGCCTGTGCTACCCTCAATGAAGAAAGGAAACTTGAGGCAGGGTTGAGGGTTGCAACAGCCATGTCTCTTTATTTTCACACCCAACAAAAAATACACAAC